GGAGGACAGGTCAGAAGAGTGCCTAAAACCGACCCCAACATGGTAATAAACGAAAAACACAGAAACACTACTAACAGATAACACATAAAGACCCCAACAGGGTAATGCTCGAGTGTAGATCCCAACAGGATAATAAAGGCACACTCGAGCTCACTGAGGCCAAAAACCCAGACCAAAAACACATTAAAACAACACACGAAACTACTGAACTACGAACAAGACAAAAAGACACAAACTAAACTGTAAAAAACAAAGAATAATAAACAAGCCCTTTATTAGCTGCAACACCTAACCGAACCACTAAATATTAGAGATAGTTAAAAAATATTATTAGTTATTATTAATTAATATTTGTTAAAAGTTAAAACAACTAAATATTATTGAAAAAGAATTATTAATGAAAAAAAAATACATTTTCTTGAGATCAAAACATATATATATATATATATATATATATATATATATATATTAACAAATATGCATAAATTAATACCACTAGAAAATATTTTTCACATCCCACTGGAAAGTCATACAACAATATATTCCAATGAAAATTTCAGCAGATATTTCAATGAAAATACCAACGATATTCAAATGGTATAACTTCCGTTAGAATCATTCCAACAAAAATATACAGTTGTAATAAGTTTTACATTGAAATTTTAAATAGAATTTGATGACTACAACAATTATTTTTTGAATAGTTTTTATCGTTGAAATTATATTTCCACTCATATTTCAACATGTTGTAATAGTTAAAATCTAATAAATATTTTAATGGAAACTCAATTTTCAGCAGAATATTTTTGTTGGAATTTTCGTTAGAATCGTTAAAAAATTCCAACAAAAATAATAACACATTGGCATATCAATTAGAATTGTCATTGAAATTTCATGAGAATATATTTCCATTATTATTTCGTTATTTTCTTGTAATGTACGCAATATTTGACATACGTTGAAAATCCAAAATAAACAAAATTACAACATTTTGCAATACAAATATGCATTTTTATTTAAAATTTGCGACCGATTGACTAATTTATTGTCAGTCTCACAGTGCAATGAAAGTGTGAAATTCATACCTCTCTCACTCAGTGAGGAGCTATATTGGGCCCGGAGGGTACGTGGGCCCCCATGATTTTTTTGTATATATATAAAAAAATATTATAAAATATGTGTAAAAACGCAGAAAATCCCCCCTATATATTAATACAGAATGCGCTGAGCCTACGTGGCTGCTTTTGGTGCTTCAGAATCCTATGTGGCAAAATTACATGCTTCGTTATTAGGCTTGAGTGAATTTTAATTTAATTCCAAACCAAAAATAATTAGGTTCGGATTACCATAAATATGTTGATTATTTATGGTCATGTTACATGTATTAATTGTATTTTTTAATATCATTTCTTATTATAACTATTGAATTGTATGTATATTTTAAAAGTTAATAACTTTTGTATTTTTTATCAGTTTTACATATGTAATATATCAAATTAATCTTCTTTTGATAAACTTCGATTTAACATCCATATTGTATGTATAAAAAAAATAATTTATATTTATCTTTATAACAATAATAAAATTATTTTTAATATTAATTAGAAAAATATAATTATTTATCAACTAATATATTTTTGTATTTCAAGTAGTTATATGATATAAGTTATAAAAACTAATATAATATAACACATGTAAGTCATAAGTAACACATATCATTCTAAAATATATAGTAATATATTTTTTTTGTAAAAAAGTAAACTAAATTTAATATAATTTTCTCATTAATTTTAAAATTTAAGAATAATTTTTTAACAAGCACCCGAGTAATACACGGGTATTGTACTAGTATTTAAAATATTTCAATAGTTATTTTTTATGCTATTTAAATTAAAATTAATATATTATTTATTTATAAAAATATACTAACAATTGTTATATTTTACATTTTTAGATATATTTTTTTAAAAATGTTTATAATGATTTACTTTTGATCTCCTAATTGTAAATTGATTTAGTGATTTATAAATCCTAGTATTTAGTTAGAATATTACATTTTGAGTGTTGATTTTTTCACTTATTTTAATCACATATTTTTAAATTTATTTATTTTCTTCTTAAAAATGTTCATTTGATAAGCATTAATAAAAATCTATGCAATGTGCTGCAAAAGTTTTTGTTTTTTTTTTCTTTTTAAAATATGTTCATTTGATAACACTACAAAAAAAAAGTCATATTCCAACGGAAAATACTACGGAAATATATTCTAATGGAAATTTCAACGGATATTCCAATAGTATAACTTCCGTTGGAAGATTCCAACAAAAATTCCAACGGAATTATACCGTTAGAATGAGGTTTTCCAATGGAATTTAGATGAAATTTGATCATTTCAACGGATATTATTCCAACAGTTTTTTTACTGTTGGAATATACAATTTCCGTTGGAATTTTTATTTCCTTCATATTTCAACATTTGGAAAATGTACCGTTGGATTTGTCAAAATCCAACGAAAACTCCAAAGGAAAACTCGTTCCAACGAAAAAATTTTGTTGGACTTTTCGTTAGAATCCATTGGAGGAATTGTCGTTGGAAATCCGTTGGAAAATATTTACATTGGAATTTTCATTGGAACTTCATCATATTTTTATAGTGTAAACACAATGTGTTGCAAAGTTTTTTTTCTTCGTAAATTATAAATACACGAAATCTCACTTTTTTGTTTATTAATATTTTTTTTTTTTTT